GCTTTCTTTATCTAGATTCCCAATCCAGATAGTCTGATATATAATTACTTATTTTTCTCTGATTCGATGGTGGTCTTGTTGGTGTTGTCGATTTTACCTATTTGTTAATAGCAGGGGCCCCAACCCTGGTTCTCAACTTCCAAGCTAGATGGCCCAGTAACTATGTACTTTTCCTTTGTGTCTGAAGGGCGGCTAGTAGGTCTTCTACCATCGCCATGACTTGCTTGCAATTGCAGGAGCTCCCTAGCTAGATTCCTGGTCCTCTTTTCTATTTGCAATGGCCTGGTTGGTATGGGCATATCAAGACTCCGAAGATCTCTGATATAACTTAGAGGTTACTAAAAAAGGAAATTGTGTGTAGAAATTCATCAAACATTGCATTTTTATATAGTAAATTTTTAAATTTTGGCCTATTTTATATGCCTATTTGGCTAATATTATATAAACTTAGATCTAAGTTGTATCAAAGATCTTTGGGGTCCTGGCGTATCCCTAACACTCTGCATTTCATCCAGTTTAGTTTACATGGGTTCTGTTTCTTGGGTCTAACCTTTGCAGTAGCTCTGTCAAAGATTGTGCTACCTCTCTACTCAAGACTTGCCAAGTGGGCTTCTGTATTCGCAATTCTCTGGATTTATATAGCCCGGGGACTTATTTTGTGTTTACACTACCTATTATCAGTTTGCATTTCTTTATTTAACCTTATATTATATAAATGTCCCAGACCTCCTAGTCTTGCTGGTGTAACTATAGTTACAGGTATTCTATCCTAATTGATCATCAAATACAGTTAGCTATAACACAAACAAAATTTTCAAATTTTCGTCATCGGTGAGATTTGAACTCTTAACCTGCTACTTGGGGTAACAACTTGACTACTTCGCTTTGTCGCCACACCCATTTTGATATAATTTTGATATCATTTAGATATAGATTTAAGATTTAAAAATTAAAATATAATATTGATATTGTAGCAATATTGTTACAAGATTATAAAATAGAGAGTTGCTATTTCCACCCTCATTTTTGCTAATACTACCTCCTATATATCAAAAGATGCTCCAAAAGAGGTATTGTTATTAAGTCAATCTTCTTTTTTGTCTTAATAAAAGTTGTTTATCAGGTCTTTCCAGTTCTAATAGTTATAAAATCATTAAAATTAGATTAATAGTTTTTTTTTAAATATAAATAAATGTTACTAACTTCAAATATAAATATCTTAGGAATTACTAGTCCAATTTTAATAATTTTACTACTATTAGAATCAGAAAAGCTTGATAAACAACTTTTATTAAGACTGCAAAGAAGGTTTTCTTAATAATAATACTTTTCCAGAGCATTTTTTAAATTTTGGGGTGGCATTAACAAAAATAGGGTGGAAATAGTAATTCTTATAAAACATTGTAAAGATATTATAACAATATTGTAATACTAATCAAAAAACAAAATCACTAGCAAGAGAGATTGTAAAACCAAATACTAACTCAAAATAAAGACATTAGCAAAAGAAATAAAACAGGTCTATAATAAAGATATTAATGTTAAAACTAATTATAAAGCTAAACAATAATCTAAAATAAAGATAATAGCAAAAAAGACAATTATAAAACAAAGTACTAATCTGAAACAAAGATATTAGCAAAAGAGATAGTTGTAAAATAAAGTATTAATCTAAAAAAATTGTTAGTATTAGAGCTAATTGTAAAGTAAAGTCTAATCTGAAACAAAGATATTAGTAAAAGAGACAATTATAAAACCAAACACTGACTTAAAACAACGATATCAGCAAAAGAGATAATGTAAAATGAAATATTACTTGAAATAAAAACACTAGCAAAGAGGCAATTATAAAATAAAGTACTAATCTGAAACAAAAATATTAGCAAAAAGACAAATATAAAGTGAAGTACTGACTTTAAATAAAAATGCTAGCAAAAGAAACAATTGTAAAATAAAATACTGATCTAAAATAAAGATATTTGTAAAAGAGACAATTATAAAGCAAAGTATTAATTTAAAAATAATTGTTAGTGTTTGAACCAATTATAAAGTAAAGTATTGATCTAAAACAAATATATCAGTAAAAGAGACAATTGTAAAGCCAAAAACTAACTGACATAAGTTAATCAGTACCCTTAGAATTTGTAGTGCCAGAAATAGGATTGGGGTTTGTGTAATATGATCTATTGCATGAATAGCGTGATCTTCAAATTAATGAAAGCATAGAATTAATTTAGTAATAGTCTAATACATGTAACCAGATAATTATTTATCTGATGATAATCTTGTATTATAAAAGAAAGCTTGATCTAATAAAGTGAAAGAGAGTTTTTAGTATAGTTAAGAAATAGTTCTAAGTGAACAAGTAGCCAAATGTTTGTGTACATATCTAACAAGGTGGAAGATCTAATACGATATACCAGTCAAGCAAAACTCAAGCAAAGCGAACAATCTCTTAGTGAGATCAGACCCAAAGTCGGTAAAGTAGGATTTGTAAATGACACAAGGACCTGGGCAAGAGAAAGGTCTTACTTGCAGAAATAAGTAAAAAAAGTAAAGCTGTAAAATCGAAAGTGGTAGTTCATGAAGCCGAAGATATTAAATCTGTAGAACTGAAGGTGGTAAAGCTTTGAGACCAAAGATTGGTGAAAGTTGAGACCAAAGATTGGAAAAAGCTAAGACCAAAGATTGGTAAAGCTTGAAACCAAAGATTGATAAAGCATAGAGACCAAAGTCGGTAGAGACATGAGACCAAAGTTGGTAGAGATGTGAGACCAAAGTCAGTAGAGTTATGAAACCAAAATTGGTTAGGTAAATAGAGTCATTGAATTCCTGTGATCAAAGCCTTGGTAGCAAAATTAACGTTGTTAGAGTTGGACAAAGTAAAGTCTACCTGAGTAGTTAAGCAAAGAGAATGAAGGAGCCAAACTACCTGGCTATGTTGGTGAAACTGGTGGTTCAAGAAGTTCTGAAACTTTTAAAGTTGGTTCAAGAGAAATGAGAAAAGCATAGGATGTGTCTATGTTATGTATGTTAACATAAAGAGCATATAGCTCGTTGGTGTCCTTTGAAAGATCAACTTGTGATTGATATTTGAATATTAAATGTATGGAAGTATGTCGTATAGAAATTGAAGAAAAAAAGCATTGTGAATATCGAAGCTGTTGTAAAAGTGTTCCAGAACAGGTAAAGGAGAAGGTCAAGGACAATGATATTGCAAATATGAAGTGCGTTAGAGGCAAATTGTAGAACAATGGTCATAATAGTATCAATTATGTGAAGAAAAAGAGTAGGGTTGTTAGCATGGTGAATAAAATGAATATTGACAAAAAAGAATCTGAAAAACACGTACCTGACATCCAAATGATAAATGATAAAGCCCAAAAAGATATTGATCATAAGATCAATAATGTTGATAAAAGGATTAAAGACAATGTGAATATTAGATGCATAGATTTTGATGAAAAAAAAAATGGAGCTTAGTAAATGGAATAAAAGAAGATCAGGTATAAAGGATGTAAATTCAGAAGACAAACCTGAAACAATGAACAGAATAATCTTGGGCAATGTCATAAAAAAGACAATAGAGTTAAAAGGAATGAGAACAAGGTATATGTCTGTTATCAAACACCTGCTGAAGGTGGTTTAAAGGCACAGAATGATCTTGGAATATGTTATCAATATGGAATTGGAATTGAAATTGATAAGATGAATATAAGGCATTTGACTATTATCAAAAACCTGCTGACAAAGGTAATGATAGCGAAATATATGCTGTTAGACATTGTTATGAAAAGTAGATTGGTGTTGAAAAGGATGAACATAAAACGTTCATTCATTATCAAAAACCTGCTGATATGGATGATACTGATGAATTACCTGTTTCTGGACATTATAACCAAGATAGTGTAATGGTAATAATGCAAGCACCGTTAGACGTAGTTGTGAAAATAGATGCGATAATAAAGGATTGCTAGAGATATTGATAGAAGCTAGGCCTGACAGCAATAGCGTGAACCATGAAAATTGTATAATAAGTATATACAAAATAGATAGTTATGAAGAGTCATCAGTTAGCCAAAGTAAGGGTGATAATGCTACCAAATAAAGTGCAAAAAAATTGGCCGTCTACCTGCATTGAATGACAAGATATCCCTAATGATCAAAGCTACCAAGAAAATGCCTTGTAATAATATTGATAGAAAGAATAGAGACATGAATTTTAAAATGACAATTTCTGATGTTGAGCATTATACTGCATTTGTAAACTACCCCAAAATTTAAAAAAGTTAGACTATGGATAGTGAGTCAATTTAATTGACATCATATATACATGAGTTATAAACTAATACTATCAATATTATTAATATCTATTTTTTCATAGTTCTGTCTAATGAGGTGCGTCACTACGTATAAATAATTTAAGATGGGTTGTATTAATAATTTAAGATGGTTTACATGAATAATTTATTAAGAATTTAAGATGGGTTGTATAGTGGGAAGATGGGTTAGACATAAGACTGCCATAAATCTGGGGTGCAAAAAAATTTTTTTAGGGTTTAATTTTGATCGATTGATAATGAATTTGGTGACCATTATTTTAAGTTTGGCGACCATTATTTCAGATTTGGTGACCAAATATTTGCTTAATTCCGCCAATGCACCGTAATGGTATGATAGAACGTACAGTGTTGGTCAGTGTTGAACAATGACAATGTCATAAGTCATTTAACTAATGACTTATATCATTTTGTTATATGATATATAATCATCTATCATTTTGTCATATTTTCATATAATACTATCATATGACTTATATGACTAATGACATATGTTATTTGTCATTTGTTATATTTAATTTATATAAAAATTTATTGAAAGACAGTAAGTGTTTGACAATTTTTCAAATTGATTAGCCCAAAGTTTTCGATTATTTACCAGAAAAGATGTTATATTTTTGCATTCAACCAGAAATATATATACGTACACTAGTGATGCCTGATGAAATGACGAAACCTAACAAAACTATAAGTTTTGTCAATGATAAAACTTGATAAAACTTATGATTTCATAAGTTTCGTCATTTTGTCAGGCATCACTAACGTATGTACTAAAGTTTTATGATATTTACATTAATTATTGATCTAAATTAAATATATCAATTTGAATCCATTATACCAAACTTACAAACTTAGTCGAATTTGCTGAAAAGTCATTCAGTTAATTTTACCAGTTCCAGAAATTATGAAAACAGCTGTAATTAAACAGAGCCTCCACATTTTACAATAGAATTTTGTGCCTACCCTTTAACTGATTATCTTTTTTTATTAATTAATATGTGATATCTCTGTCTTGTAATTATCTAAGTGTACAAATAATGAAAAATAACAATTTTAGTTTTTTCATTAACTGATAAAAGAAACTTTCTGTCATATAATATTGTTTCCATCTAAACAGTAAATATATATTCATGTGCATAACTAGATTATTTTAATTAATATCTAATACTTAAGTAATAAAAATCATTATCATTACAGACTAACTTAGAAAAAATTAACCATATATGTCTATAAATAGTAAGTTAAAAGTAAAATTAAAAAAAAACTTACTTTCAAAGCAGCTTGAGTTTTTATAACAAAATAAAAACAAAAATAGTAAGAGCATCAGCGAGTATTTCCAGAAGATATTAATGAAATATTTTTTTATAGATTCTTATTTGTTCTTCCTATAAAATACTTATAAAATATATAGAATTATGAAAAAATCTAACAATCCATACTGCATCTTTTGATATATATTTAAATAATTCATTTTCTTTAAATATATTACTAAAGACTAAATTCATTTGATGGGCCATGCATGGTACAAATATTTTATTAGGATATTTTCGTCGAAGTTGACATCTAAATAAATAATAATAATATTTTAATTTTTGAACATATTAATAAATATATAGTATAAGAGATTTTACCCTGCTGCTTCATATTCACCAGCGGAGTTAGAAATAAAAGCCTTAATATTTATATTTTACTTTGAGCATTAATCATTAAATTTTCTATCTTTTGTATTACATCTTCTGTACATGATCTTTGTGTACTAATTTCTTGCGCTTCCTAAACTAAGGGTTGTCCTTGTAAAATAATTAAGACCACACCCCAGATATATTCATATTTTATATTGGTCTATCTATCAAATATAGCAGTAATACCATTTGGATCACTCTGTGCAATTTTTAATATTTTATTCTGCAAATTTTTTGATGCCTCAGTTAAAATTCTTATACCTAATTTTTTACATTTAGGTAACTTTAAACCAGGCATAATAAAGTTAAATAATGCTTTGGTTTCTTCATTTTCAATAAAAAAAAATGGAAGCTCATTAGAAATATACATTCGAAGAACTAAGTTTTCAAAATATAGTATATCTTTGTTTGATATTAGATGGTGAAAATAATCAAGAGATGATTGTGATTATATTTTACTAGTATCTGAGGAATTAATAGTAATTAGATTTTTCTGGCATTTAGAAGACAAACTATTATGTTCATCTTTTAATTAAAAAATTATTATTATTAGCTATTATTGATTGCAATTTAACTTTTTATCTTCATTTAAAACTTTTCATTTATCTTCAGCTACAGAACATAATAATACTTCAATTTTACTAAATGTTGCTTTAAAATTTTTATATTTAGCTAAATGACCTTGACACAGAATAGCTTTATTTGATGTAAAGCACTCAGAGTTTTGTACTACTGCTTGAATTCTACTATTTTAAGTACACAAAAATTACATACTGTTTTTGCATTTGTTTTATTAGTTAGATTTTTGATTAATGTAAAAAATTCTCTAAAATTATGTGGTTTAGTCATATTAATTAGTGTCTACTTTAAGTAAAAGCTTAATCAAAGGTGTAAAGAATTTGACAAAGATATTTATATATCTTTCTAAAATGCAATGACTAAAGTTATGTATTAAATTTATTGAGTCTAATATATTAAATAGAAGTTATTTAATAGATTCAAGCTTTTTTATATATTATACATCAAATTAATATCTGCATTAAAATAATTACATTATTCCTGGGCTTAGTATGAAATTCTGATATTCAAAATTTTAACAGATCATAATAACTTGTGCACATGAGATTATGTAACTAATCTAAGATCAGGGTACTTAATATTAATTATATTTGCCAATAATCAATCAAGTAAATAAATTTAATTATATAATCGTAATTAAATAAATCAGTATAACAAATATTAAGAGTTAATACTTATAAGGTAAGAAAAAAATAATAAGAAAAGAGTAATATAGTTGTTATATCACTTAACAGTCTAAAATAAGAAATATATTATTAAACAGCAACAGTTGAGAAATCAATTCTTAATTACTCCTATATTAAAGATATTGAAGTATAAAGCTTTATTTAAAGAGGAAACAAGCAGCTCTTTTATAATTTTGATATATATATACTAGTAAATTTTAAAAAATTTGAATGATATTATTCAATTGCCATTAGACTTACATTCAATATGTTGAATAATAAGTCATTCAACTTATATTCAATATATCAAATAATATGTTATGTGGCTTCTGTAGCTGCACAGATATCAATGTCTGTGAAGCCACAGAAGCCACATAATATATTATTTGATATATTGAATATAAGTTGAATAACTTGATATTTGAATTATTGAATACAAGTCTAATAGCAGTTGAATGATGCCATTCAACACATCAAATTTTTTTAAAATTTACTAGTGATAGAGACAAGGCTTTTATATATTTTGGTTCACTTCTAATCCTTTGGTTTAGACATAGACTTATTTCTAACTTAAGATGTCTTTAATCTATCTTTTTACTATTTTTGAACAATTAGTCTAAGCTTTGTTCAGGTCTAATCTCTTCTTCTAAACTTTATTCTACATCTAATCTTTTAAGCTATATACAATTAAATAAATAAATATAACAGATGGATAAACATTTAGACAGTTCTATACTTCTAAGCTTTTGCTTACCTTTAGTTTTACAATATCCTTGTAGCTCTGATACTAATCATAATAATCATATTATGGTTACTAGTTACTTAATTAAATCGTGATAATACATATATATATTTTCTATGTAA